TGGAAATGGAGGCAAAAACTGCTACAAAATTTACGATGTTATAGCCAAACGTAGAATCCACTTCAATGTCGGTAACATCACGCCCTTTCAATTTTTTCGCCGATGCGCTGACGTCTAAATCTTCCGGCTTTTCTATTTCATAGCGATTCAACGGTCGCTTGTTTTTCTTTGTCGGCCTTTTTTCGTACGAATCAAAACCTTTTGCACCTTTCTTTTTACGACAACTCCTTCTGTCACTCATAGTTTTCAATAATCACTGCTTATTTTCACTATTATTCGAATATTATGGAACGTACCCAGTAAACACTCAGGGATCATTTACGTAATAATTACATAATGTTTTATATGTATATATTACAGATCATCATAACGAAACTGTGACGTATCGTTTATGTCAATAACGTAATGAATCTATAATTGTTACATAGAATTGTTATATAATTTTAACGTTACTTTGTTATGTAACATTTATGAAATTTGGTGAATGTAAATATGCATTCTCTAAAAGTTTCGTAAATGCTACGTAATTTTGATGACATAATTGTAACGTTATGTTAAATACGTAACATTTAAGTTTCTTTGTGAATGTAAATGTGCATACTCTAAAATTTTCGTAAATGCTACGTAATTTTAATGACATAATTGTAATGTTATATTAAATACGTAATATTTATGTATTTTGATAAATGTAAATGCACATACTCTAAAATTTTTGTATATACTACGTAATTTTAATGACATAATTGTAACGTTATGTTAAATACATAACATTTATGTATTTTGGTGAATGTAAATGTGTATACTCTAAAAACTTTATAAATACGACATAACTCTAATTACGTAATTGTAACGTTATGCTAAATACGTAATTCATGTATTTTGGTGAATGTAAATGTATATCTCTAAAAATTTTATAAATGCTATACAACTGTAACGACATAATTGTAACATTAGTTTAAATATGTAACATTGACATTTTTTTATCGACATTAATGTATATATTCAGTAAAAACTTTATAACCGTTATACATAACGAAATTTGCGATATCACATTAAATATAAAATGTATGTAACTTTGTTGACATCTTTGAGCGTTCTGAAAAAAGGGCATGCATATATCAATGAAAAAAGTATCTGGCAATACATCTTTGAATATTTTCTTAATATATGTATAATTACTTTCAATATTATTTATTAACGTCATTAAATACTTTGTGAAAAAATGGAATTTAATATAATTATTATATATATGTGTATATACATAATCAAATATTTCGAGTTCATTTTTTTATAAAGTACTTAATAATGTTAATATAAAATTATAAATGTCGGAAGTAATTAATACACATCAAGAAAATGTTCAAAATGTATTCTATATAGATACGTTTTTTCAATGATATTTTATTTCGAACGCTCAGACATCAACAAAAGTAGGAATACTAGGGGGGTTCTAACCCGGGTCCTCTGAGGGGGGTGCGGGGCGGGGGGGTTTTCGGGGGCGAGGGGGTATGACGTCACGCGGGCGGGGGGTCTTATCAGCAGATAAGCTTATCTATGTTTATAAACAAAAGATAAACAATATCTATTACAAAGGGCTGCCGACATTCGGGGGGGGGGGGGGGGTTGCGTTTCTTCTCTTCATACGTTTATGTTTATAAACAAAAGATAAACAATATCTATTACAAAAGGGCCGCCGACAATCAGGGGAGGGGGGGGGGTGCGTTTCTTTTCCTCATACGTTTATGTTTATAAACAAAAGATAAACAATATCTATTACAAAGGGCTGCCGACAATCAGGGGGGGGGGGGGGGGTTGCGTTTCTTCTCCTTATACGTTATCTGTATATTTCTAAGAAATATAATCAAATTCTAAGAAGGGCCACCGCTTGGCATACGCCGACAATCAAGGGGGTTGCGTTTCTTCCCCCATACGTTATCTGTATATTTCTAAGAAATATAATTAAATTCTAAGAAGGGCCGCTTGGAGCCGAGCGCCGACAATCAGTTCTCTGAAAATCTAAGATAATCAAATTCTAAGAAGGGCCACCGCTTGGCATACGCCGACAATCAAGGGGGTTGATACATGATCTATACGTATATTTCTAAGAAATACCAGCGCCGATAACCAGCGGCTGCAGGAATTTATAAACAAAACAAGCGCCGAAAATTTACGTCATCTAAATTTTTCTCGTTCGTACGTTGACGAACAAAGGGTTGATTGGGATATATAACGAGGACCGATGCCGCTGCCGGGCCATAGTACCACTGGCGAGCGCACGCTTTCCTCAAGGAAAAATAGCTGTGAGAAAAAAAGTTTAGTGTGCAATTAAAGTAGTTATTTCTGTGCAGTACAAGTGAATTTTTACAAAATGGAGAGCGCACCGCAAAATCATGCAGAGTGTCATGAGAAGGGGTGTTATAAGACTGCCGAGAGATGGTATAGACATCTCGATGAATGCTATTATGATGAAAAAAAAGATGACCCGTTTGATTTTAAACGTGAAGCGGTGACTTCAGTTGTGCAATTCGTAAGAAATCGCGAACTTGGTGTGCAAAAACCGCATACAAGTGATGTTGCCTATTTCCTGGAAATTCACGAAGACATTTTAAGAGTGACTGGTGGGTTATCCAAATGCACCAGATCATCTAAACGACACAAGCGAGTCGCATGTTATCAGCGTCGCTACAAAAATTGCGCAGAATATTTTACTGTGGACAACCTTTATTTTGCCGACATGGATATGCCTTCACCATCGGTATCATGCAAAACACAATCATCTGATTATGATTCGGACCAAGAAATAGAGGAGTCAGATAGGAGAGAACCGTCACCACCGCCATCGTCGTCATCGTCATCATCGCCAGATTTCTTGTCGGCAGCCTATTTATCTTTTCTGTGATAAAATAGGTGTACAATATATGCGAAGAGTATAGCAGTGTTTATGAGATAAGTTTTATCACGCGTGAAAGAGAGGATTGTAGTAAATGTGTCAAGACATATTTTCACGAGGTGTAAACAAAACAATAATCAACTGCTGCAGCGGCTGCTCTTTTACGACCGATCATCTTTCTTTCTGAGATAAGTTCGATCGCATGTGAAGCACAAAGGGCTGAACGAAATATATATATTGAGGACCTATGCGCTCTCAAAAATCATCCAGTCTAGGATTTGACAGCATCCTGATCAGTCCGTGAAAAAAGTCTAGTGGCTATACTTATTTACGGAAGTGCGGAAAAAATTCATTGACTTGTATCATAATTGTGCAAACGCGTGTTGAAAAAAAAAAATGGAAAAAGACATTGCGATCAACGTTTCTGATGACGAGATGGAGGTCATCACGATCTCCGACAGCGACAGCGAGAGCGACGCCGAGATGTACGACCCTGTGTACGACAGGGAGGTGAATATCATCTTAGATGATATAGAAGAAATGGAGGGTGATGTCATACCCATTGTTGAGCAAGAAGAAGAAGCAGAAGAAGAAGAGGAGGAAGAAGATTTGCATGACGATGGGTACGAAAGCGAAAACGCTGTTCGGGAGTCGTGCCACTCGCGTACGTTAGATGTACGAGCAGTTGCATCCCTCGACGAAGATACATGGGTATGCGTTATAACAGCATACGTCTCACCAGGAGGGTCAGTGAAAATCTGCATTCCCTGTTTCATGAGAAACAGGGAAAGATTCGCAGCAACTACACTAACGCACAGGCACGTGACGATGCGGTACAGGGATGTACCGCATCTTTATTGCATCGATTGTTTGGAAAGAGTGTTCGTACTCTTCCTGGCCAACTTGTGCCCAATCTGTCAAGGCTGTAGGTATATATATATATTAAAATATCAAAAAAAATCTATAAAATAGTATAATAATTTATTATATTTCTATGTGCAGATGCCGAGGTACAGTCTGACAGCGATGGTTAACGCGACCCCCTCTCTCGCAGTCGCAGCAGGCCCGCTGGCTCTCTCTCGCCGCTACCTCGAGCCGCCGAATCTCTCTCTCGCCTCCGACGGCCTTTTTTTATATATATATTTTATATAATTTTATATAATTTTATATATTATTTATATGTTTATTTTATATAATTTTGATTTCATATATCTTTTTATATTTGTATCTTTTTATAATTTTATAAATTTTATATTATAAATAATTACACACACACACACACACACACACACAAATTTTGTAAATTTACACATATTTTATAGATTAAAAAAAATATTATTATCAAATGAGTGTATTTATTTTAGATTAAAATGTCCTCCTTACCTCTTGTTCCCTTTTAAATATTAGGAAAATATAAAGAAATTATTAAAAGCTCTCTCTTTTTCTCTCTCTCTCCTTCACATTTCTCTCGCGTCTTATTTCGACGTCTCTCTCTCAAAACTCGTATGTCTCTTTTTCTCTCACGCGATGTCTCTCTCTTTTGCATCTTCTCTCACTGTCTCTCTCTCGCGCTGTCGCCGCTGCGGCTCGTTTTCTCTCTCGCATATGCACGGAAGAGCGCGCGCCTCTCCACGTGTCCCTCGCATGGATGCGACCCACCGGCTCTCTCGAACGTGAGATGTAAACATTCGACACTTGGAATGTTTTTTGAAATAGATATAGTTCTTTGTGAAGATTTTTTAAGTGGGGTACAGCCTGTGGAGAGCAGGGCTGTCTCTGCAATCATAAAGTTTCGAACGGTCCTCAACGAAGTGTCGGGACATTACAACGAAAATGGTAGTGCTTTTTAAGTGCAAAAATATTATTTAATAGTGGAGGAAAAAATATATTAATATTAATATTTTTTTTGTAGTTTGCCCTCTGTATTATTTGTTGTTGTTGGGTGATTAAGGACCTCGTTTATGATATATTAAGGGATGCAGAATGGGAAAATTATTCAGATGACGACTTTGAAGAATGGATAGGGGATGACGAATGGGACGGTAAGAATAAAATTTATAATATTGTATTATATTTTTTAAATGAATAATGTTATGTTTACATTTCAATAATGGTTCCAGATATGTGTGATTGGGATTGGGACCCATATATAAGAGACGATGACGGCGATTTCTATGATTGGGGTCTGGTGTGGCTGTTCGAGCCGGAACCTGTACCTGTGTATGAAAATTGGGACGGTAAGAATAAAATTTATAATATTGTATTATATATTTAAATTAATAATTGTTATATTTTTAAATTAATAATTGTTATGTTTACAGATGAACCATACGTTCCAATAATGGTTCCAGAGATGTCGGATTGGGACGCATATTTAAGAGGCGACGACGAAGCTGATTGGGGTCTGGTGCAGCTTTTCACTCTACCAGACCCGTACGATGTTAGGCCTCAGCCTACACCGCCGCCACGCCGTCGCCGTCACCGCCGCCGTCACCGCCGCAATCACCGCCGCAATCACCGCCGCCGTCACCGTCGCCACCCCAATCGTCCATAATGTAAACTATTTTATTTTTTTATTTTTCATTTATATCCTTATTTTTATATATTTTATATTTTATATTTTTATATTTTCTATTTTTCTATTTTTTAATTTTTTATTTTTATATTTTTTCATTTTTAATTTTACACACACACACACACACACACAAATGTAAATGTACACATATTTTATAGATTAAAAAAAATATTATTATCAAATGAGTGTATTTATTTTAGATTAAAATGTCTTCCTTACCTCTTGTTCCCTTTTAAATATTAGGAAAATATAAAGAAATTATTAAAAATTATTTTAAAAGCTCTCTCTTTTTCTCTCTCTCTCCTTCACATTTCTCTCGCATCTTATTTCGACGTCTCTCTCTCAAAACTCGTATGTCTCTTTTTCTCTCTCTCGCGTACGTCTCTCGCTGCAGCCCGTCTTCTTTCTCTCTCTCTCGCGTACGTCTCTCGCTGCAGCCCGTCTTCTTTCTCTCTCTCGCGTCTTAATTCGCCGTCTCTCTCTCGCCGCGAGCCGCCGAATCTCTCTCGCCACCACATCCGATTTCTCTCTCGCGCGCTGTCTCTTTCTTTTCTAGTGGTTGCTCTCTCGCAAAGTATGTAACGGGTGGCGCGCAAATAAAGTACACCATGATATACATATAAGTATTTATTTGTCTTATATTTAATACATAATTATATATAAAGTTTTATTACATATTAAAAACTAAAGCCACCAGCTCGCAATCGACAAGTTGGTGCATGTCGAAGGCGTTGCTAGCGCGTATCGCATTCGGCAATTCTCTCGCATTCGTTACAGTGGATGCAATATTGGAGAATTGCGTATGTTTGATATCGACCGTTGCGATGAGCCTCGTCAATCGATCGAACATTATTTCGATGCATGAATCGAGCTCGAACATACGACGTAACGTCGATTCGACCATCATCATGCGCACGTCCGCCGATTCGAGACTTATGAGCTTGGTGTCGTTTATCTTGTGAAAACGTACTGTTAGCGGCCCGACACTTATGAAGTTATACACATCGTTGTTGAGAGAGTCATTGTTCAAATAATTTTGAATAGTGTGACGTTGCTCGTAGAGTCCTTTCCACGTTTCGAGAGATAGTATTAGCTGTTTTCCCCGATGATCTCCTATGGCGATCTCCACGTAACTCGGCGGATCCACTCTGATGCCGATTTCGAGGAATTTGAATTCCGTGGTCGTCAATGCGTATCGTCTTCCAAGTATACGAACCGCACGAGACTCCAGCGAAACGCTGTAAAAAAATTAGGAAAAAAAATTAAAACTAAATTAGGAAAAAAAGAAATTATAACTCATAAAAAAATATAAAAATAGAAAAAATATAAAATATATAAAATAGAAAAAGTTATACTTACTCGTCGCATTTCTTCTCGCACGTTTCATCGCGTCTCGGCATGTAGTAATTCATGCTGCTGCTTTTTTGGTGCAGAATATTTTTCTCGAGGGTATTAAAAAGTGAACCACCAGTCAGAACAGTCGACGAGAGACTGATCGTACAAAAGTACTAATAATCGAGTAACACTCATTTTTAAAATATTAGGAGAAGGGGATTCCTAGAAATATATATCTGGAGGGGAATAAAGAGAAATATTTAAAAGTAGTGGGGATAAAAAATTAAATATTAGGAGAAAGGAATTCTTAGAATTATATATCTGGAGGGAACAAAGAGAAATATTTAAAAATATTAGGAGAAAGGATTTCTTAGAAATATATATCTGGTGAGGGAGAGAAATAACAAAGAAAATAGTATGTAAACAATATGTTTATTCAAAAAACGGATGATCGTCGGATCCAAGCCTGGATTTTGCGGCCGACCACCAATTGAATAATTTAAATACATTTTGTAACGCACAATTTTTTACATGTTTATTACATCGTAGAGTATATGTGGGATCTAACTTATTTAATGCAGGTACATCTTCATATATGGCATCCAAGGTCTCAATGGTGAAACCGCTGCTCGCATCGTCCATTATTTCGGCCAGCCATTCTCGCTTTTCGAGTCCTTTTACATACACGAGAGAGGACTCTTCATCGTCTTCTTGCTCATTTATGCCAACGATAGCTGCCGTAATCAAGCGCTGAGCCATGCCGTATGGAACATTTCCATCCTCCCATTGTAAGCTGTGATGATGTTGAGTTAGCCACGAGGCCTGACGCCTTTCCGACTTTATAAGCACGCTCCATGGCACAGGGCATGCGAAGAAATAGTGCGACAGGATATATCCTCTTCTCAGGATTGCCGCTTCCTTTACGATAAATCGTTTGTTTAGTATAAATCCTTGCAGGTCGACAAACGTTGGTGCGGACATGATCTCTTCGATGCGAGTCAGTCGAGAGGTATTACTTCACTAACATCAAACATCTCACATCATCTTGATTATGTATCCTCCTCCTCCCCCTCTTTCACACGCGTATTTGTGTAAACATTTTTTAGGTGATTTTGCGCACAACGTTGGTCAACGGGTTGTACTGGATCACACGATCGTGTATAATGAGGCAGTACGCAGTGGTATTATTAGGCACGTTTTCCTTACACTCAAATTCCAATCTCACATCCACCGTTGCGCTCTTGATCGATTCGTTTTGTCGAGAACAATCGATAATCACAAACGGACCGTTTTGTAAAAACCGTGTGATGGTGAGATTGGGCTCGAGGTATTCGTATCCGTAATAGTTCTTGCAGAAACGTGTGTAGGTGTCGTACAGAATTGACCATCTGTTTTTATCAAAATCCAGATTCATGTCGTCGTACGGATAACTTTCCGAGTTCAGAAAGAGTTTCACGTTGGTTAATTTACAGTCGTCGAATCGACTCGTATCCTCGGACATGACATTTTTACGCCCTGTCTGCAGAGCAAAAATTACATATCGCGGCTTCTCCAGTTGAGTCGCGGTCTTAATGGCCCACGAATGCTTGGTCGTACGCTGCAATAGCGGAAATTCGTATAGATCCCACGAGCGGAAACCCATGCTGAGGTAACGTCCGCTTTCCAGAGCGCGCAGCATCGACAGCTTCTTAATCTCGCTCAACAACACGTGTGGCATTCGCCATTGTATCTTGAATATGTTGATCACAGGCTCCAGTGCAGAATCTCCATACAGGCAATTATTGTCGTTGCGCGATCGTATTAAGATCAACTCATGACGCGCATTAATCACTACTCGTTTGTAGTCATCACAAAATCCCAGCAACATGTAGAGCGGTACGCAGAAATTGAAGTGCCCACTCGCAGAAATCGGATCACTCCAGCCAGCGTTACTCATAACCATGCTTCTATCGAATGATATCGTTACATAGTTTTTGAGCAAACTTGTTATTCCTACATTTCTGTTGCGATCAATCTCCACACCATCGAGCTCATAGCGAATTTCGTCAAACATGAATGCGACACAATTATTTCCCAGTGTCACATTGGATCCCTCAATTGGATGGTTTATCTTTAGTTCTCCCTCGATATATAAGAAACTCTCATACGGCAATGTATATAAATCCTGTTGTTGTATGGGTATTCTTATCTCGTCGCTGTATCCAAATGTTGTGTTGGCAAACGGGTTGTATGTGTGAGTCTCAATCTTGACGATGCGATCGTCAAAGACTGGCTCTTCCTCGATGTTGAGAATCTCAGTCATTGTTCAGATGGTGCGCACCGCAAATCCCAAAGATTGTAAAAACGCAACGTTTGACGAGGTGAGTCTCTTCTTCGTAGTTGATTTGATATTAGCGAATGATGTTGCTGCTGGTCTGATTGTGTTCTTCGTGTCTTTATTCAACACGAGCATCCCGTCGCACGAGGGTGGCCCGCCGTCGTACGTGCAATCTAATTGTTATCTCTTCACCGCGAAAATCGAGCAATCGTCCCTCCTGGTCAGTAACGCGTAACACTAAATCAGTAATGCTCCGTACGAAGATCGGCAGGTAAATGATCTGCGCCGGCGTTTCCGATATCTTATATCCTGGTGGTACCCTCGGTGAAAATTCGTGTATCGTGTGAACGAGTTTATTGTTGCTGTATGCACCCGCGGTCACGTTACACTCTATGCGGATAATGTTCACGTTGATAATATTAATCGCCATGTTCGATTTGTGCCATTTTCGCGGTTGCAGTATACGATTCGAGAATCCCAGCAGCGATCCAATGTTGTTGGGCATGCTAAAGTTTATTCTGTAGGCACACTTGATCTCGCTTCTCATCGTATTGTAATTAGCGCGGAGCACGATTGGATAATCTTCATCGTCGACACCTTTATCGCTAACAGCATTATGTTTTCGGGAAAGTGCACGTTTCAAAAATTCATGTATCGCTTGCAGCTCGTACGATCCCTCGGGAATCGTAATTTCCGCGTCGTCTGTACCGTAGTAAAATTTATTATTCGAGGAATTCACATTCGATATAGTGTGATAAGTTTCAAAATCCGTCAGACCGAGCTCGTAGTCCGCGTCGCTCAAATCTATGGGCGGAAAGTAGGTCGCCGCGAGGACGCTACTCTTCCCAGTCAATGTTAGTGTTAGCGACATGTTGACAAAACTGAGTTAAATAACGCAATGTCAGTCTTTAAATTTGCGGCGAGAAATCTCGGAGAAACTGCAAGCACAACTGTCCGCAGATACTCTGATCATACGTTTGATAAGAGGTGTAA